CGCGAAGAGGAGACGTCGGTTTCCTCGTCTTTCAGAGTCTTTAGAGAAAATTGCAATTCCTCGTAAGTGACAACCCTACCTTCCCGTCGGTAGACGTTTCTTTCTCTTCCCCTCGACTCTTAGATGATTAAAATTGGACGCCTAGCGAGGAAAGCTCCGAAGGAGATTGCAAAGTAGCTGTTTAGCGCTCCGCCGTAAGGGATGACGAGAAACGTTATTGTACGTCGTTCGGCCGTGGGTTTTCTACGCTGGTGCCCCGGCGAATCCCTCGTTTCGATGCTAATTCCCGCGAAGACAGTGTCGCGCGAACCGGCTGCTGCCTTTTATTAGACTCGGCGAATCGCTGACTCCGCACTCCGGGGATTTGCTCGGACGTGCTCCACGTAAATTGAAACCTTGTTTCGTGCTTTTCGGGTTCGTTAGCGGCGAATTTTACGGCACGAAAGCTTCCAAAGAGGCCCGTGACTTCTCGTCGGTTGATTCCTCCGAAATTTTATCGATTCGGGGCTCCGTTCAGGGCCCTGGGCTTCGGGCAAGCAGACGCGACTATCTATAGATAACGATTTTGTTAATCTAATATAAATATAAGATAGAAATGGGTTTAGAACGACAAACATGGATGTCTGTCTTCAAGTAACAGATGAAGAAGAACGATATCCTCAAAAACACGCACGTTATTTGCAAACGTTGAAAGTATTACTCGCTATAATATTGTCGAACCCCAAGTTGTGCGTAATTAAAAAAGTGTAAAGTGTCCGATATAATATGATTTTGATACTAAAAAGAAACCACTCTGTGCATCGAGCATAATTAAACACATTGAACGGAACTGAATATCCCGGGGCCCTTGTAATTTAATGATTGATTGGTGCAAGGGCGCAACAAGTTTAATTATCATCGGGTAGTTAATAAATACGACTCCGTGCAAGCGTGTTTCTATTGTCGCAAAGCCAGGCCATTGGATTTCGGCGCGTTGGGAACAGATGCCAGCGAGAAACGGAATATTAATTCTCGAATTAACACGTCTGCCCTTTGTCTCGCGATTCCAAGAAAAAAACGTGGAAAAATAGTACGGTAAACGCGACCGTTTAATCGCGAACACCTTTTGATATTTTAATGTCACGTAACGCGAGGTCAGCTTCCGTTTGAAAATGCAACTGATTGCGGTCGAGCGGGCGTAATATTTCCAGGTTCCCGTTACTAACTCCCGTTAAAATATTCATTAATAATCTTGGAACAGCGATAGAAAGGCCGGTGAAGCGTAATCCGGCCCGGCGACGCTAGACCGAGCGCTCATATAAAACGCGTTATTAGGGTGAAACGCGACAGAAATTGCCGACGCTTTGAAGTTTTAATTATAAAAATCGCCCAGCCGGTTTTCTTTCCTTGTCTCGTCACTGCGATGTAGTTTTAATCGCGGACGGTACGCCCTCCGCGACGATACATTCATTTCGCTGGACTCCATGAATATTTATGCCCTTTACACGCTCAAAGTTCGCGTTATCTTCGATGAAATTCCCAAATAACTCGGGGTGTCGCTGCTTTAATGGAAAAGTTCAGCCGAACGACAAGCGTTTCGTAGAGAATTCCTGCCCGTCGTGAAATCTCTGCGAGCAAACAGTTTTCGCGCGTTAACAACTCAACGTAAACGCTCAGCGAAATTCGACCATCCGTTGCCAGTAACTTTTTCGAATAAATATACAAAATTTCCGAACGTATCGAGGGTGGTAGAAGCGTCGAATGAACTCTTTGACTGCGAAACTGCCGTGCCTTTCAGCCGGCCAAATCAACCTGTCCGCCAAAAGTTCGTCGAAAATTATCCGACCGAGAGCAACCCTGTCCCGGAGGCAACGCCACCCCGTAAAAAACCGTGGAAATGATATGAGGGCGCATAAAGTACCGCAGTGGTCGAGCGAGCGGCCATATTGGAAACCATCCAATAACCCACTTGGCTTGCTGTATCGTTGCCACCGGAGGGAACGACGAATACAAAAAGTAAGAGCGTAGGGGGGGGGCGGGACAGTGGGGTGGGACGTAGCGTGGAACAGAAGCGGAGGGGCACGCGAAACGAAACGAAAAAAGAAAAAAGATAAAAAAAAATATTAGAGGTAAACAAAGAACAGGCGAGAAAAAACGAGCCGGGGACACAAAACGAGAAACATGGAAGGGGTGTGAGGTGGCGAACGATAGGTGGCGCGAAAAAAGTCGTGGAAAAGGGTGAATCGTCGCGGTGGCGAAATTCATCGACCGTGGACGCTTCGCTCGGAATTTATTAAAGAATTTATCGGGTCTCGTAGCTGCCGCGAAATAAGTCCGAGAATCAATTTCGTCCCGCTTCTGTGTGTTACCCGGATACTCGAACGCGCGTGCGCCCGAATCACGCTACGCGTTATTGAAATTTTGTTACGCGCGGTCACGGGGGGTGCGTTTCGAAATCGGCGTAATCGGATAAAACGCGCGAAAAACGTTCGCGTGACTTGAATCTCGGACGCCTCTGTGCCATCTGGCAGCGACAAGCGACGCTGAAGCGTATTAAAAAAAGAACGAACGGTCGCGTGAGTGGGAGGGGGACGAAGGGAGAAAATGAAAAATATGTTTGCCAGAGTATTTGGCGAACGTGGCGACCGACAGACGGGAAGTTACGCTCGCGTTCATGACACGATTCAATAAATTGATACACAGGTATTTTTTTAGATTATTATACACGGTGTACCACTTAGCTTTGAACAACTTAAATACTGGCTTTTGAAACGGCTAACTAAGCCACGTTGATGAATTCTGAATCGGAAGCTCGGATTGCGGAGGCAACACTGGCCGAATTTCACTATCAAATGCAACTTTCCGCGGTTAACAAAATCGAAAGTGAAAGGTCTTGTGAAACTTCATGCTCGGAAAACTTCGCTTCGCGCGATAGTTTTGCCCACGATACATGGTTAGAACGTAACCAGAAAACGCTTCTCCCAAGGAAATTTTGCTGAACAATGAAGGTAGCGAACAATGATCATCGTCTGGGGAACGTTGAAACGACGAACCTTCAAAGAAACGATGCAAAGGAGGAACGGTAGATCATCTGAAAGAGAGGATAGTGTGTCGCGGATATATCTACGGCGGAATAGAACACAACGAACCAGATAGGAAGAAACGCAAATGGCGGAAGGATCGGCGAGAGCATATACGCGTTTCCTTTGAACGTACCTCTACCTCGAGTCAGCCTTTGCGAGGCCTGTGGTTTTAATATACATGCGTTCACGTGTGCTTTACGCGCCGAACCATCCGTTGATCCCATCGACTGCGTTTCGCGTCGAATCCTAGCGAACGACTGAATATACAGGGCGTCTCGTTACCAACATGCTGCCTCAATATCTCCCCCATCTGTACAAATCAGTGACTTCCAAACTTTACGAAAAGGCCCCCTCTGAATATAGAGAAGAATTAAGTTGGTTTCCCTCGTACATTTTACCTCTAAAAATCACAAAATTCTTGCCAAGAGAGAAAACTGTTTGGGGCACCAACCATAAAACGTACGATATGTCTCTTATCGGTGCTTCCACGGCGATAACACATATAACATAAATTGTTCAAAATCAAATTCTGAAAACTTTTGGTCTCATGCAAATTTTCTGTACGATCGATAGTAATCGAGATATCGAGCCACTTTTTTCGCATGCAGCACCACACGAAGCCGAACTGCTACAGCAAATATTTCAGAAACTTAGTTTCAGGACAAATATACCTTGATAGTTTCATTCCCAAAATTGATTACTGTATCAGATTCCGAAATAAAATTTGGATATTTTCTTTTGAAAAATATCTACCCCTCCACCCATCAGATAATTTTTTAATTGCCACCCATTGCCATATTGCAATATCCAGTTTTTGCTAACGACACCTCATTTCGTTGTTCAAAAATGTGAAGATTTCTAAAGCAGTCTGTTTCCAAGCGAACACCCCGTGTAAGATTTAATATTGTCGAGATATTTCGCCGCGAGAATCGGCTGAAGACCAAACCCGGACCGCGGCGAATCGATTCGCTATCTGCATTTTAATTTCACCTACAGGATCCTGGGCCAAGGAAGAAAGGGAACCGTCGAGTGGCCCTTTCACAGCCGACCAACCGGAATATCCCCCTTTCTCCTCTACTTTTTTTTTCGCGCGCTCTTCGAGACTCAGGAACCAGCGCGGAGAAGAGTGCTCTCGTCGGATCAAGCGCTTGAGTTTTCTTCATAGCTGCACGACGATCTCAAAATTAATTCTGTGATCAGCGTGTACACAAATTGTCCAAATTTGTCTAAAGTATATCGTAAAAGAATGTTACCAATAATGTACGAAAATATTTAAAGTAAAAAACTCTTTAAATATCCTCTAAGTAGGATACTGCTACGTAGAAGATATTTTGACATGAGATAGATGAGCGGATGAGTTCTGACAGAATAATGAGGTTAACATACAAATTGACTAATGGATTATTGGCAGAGAAAGTGTATTTTAAGAGAATCCTATCCAGAGAAGGGTGAATTAATAGATTTGAATGGAGGAGCAGGTCAATGATGATATTCTTTGTAACTCACGGAGGTTGGTTACTCCTTTAGCTAAATCAGCAGATTCAAATCTGAAAGGTAATTTCAGAATTGCCGGAGGCAGCAAAAATACTGGGGTCCAAAATTAAGTGGAACAAGTGGTTCACTGTTCGTCAAGCAGGACGGAACACCATTAATGTAATTTCGCGCGAAAGCAGCCTCCATTCTGGGGATTGTTTCCTTTCACCTTTTCACCAAGAACCGTGCAATTTTCAGAATTCGCTGATAACGAAGCGAGCTTTGCCGTGTTTGAAATGCGAAAAAGTCAAACGCCCTCCTTATTTCGCAGTGGTTTCGTTTTATGTCCTCCGGCGTGCATTACATTTTAATGAATTATCCGCGCGCTACTGGTCGTCTTTGCCCGATCTACCGTGACGCGTTGCTCCGTTCTCGTCGGGGAAATTTTAAAAATTCAATGCTCACCCTCGAGCGTTCCGCTGTAAGCGTGCAGCGGATCGAACGCAATTTGCCGCCCATTCGATCCCTCGAAGACGACGTTCTCGTGGAATAAACTCGTGTCTCTTGTGAGTCTCATCTTGAAGATCCTGAAACAGCAAACACACAAACGTAACGCGAATCGTCTAAATAACAAGAATTAAATGCGCCCTATGTCTGAAAATCTCGGCTGACCAACGACTGTTAAGATCTACTGGCAGGCGATTATTTTACTTTATTTTTTTCTCGTTGGAATATAAACAGGAAGCAAATAGAATTCCATCTAGATTGAACAAAGATAGAAAGAAATATCGGAACAAACAAAACATTAAATTACATCCTTTGATACGCGAGGAGATAATCAATTAGCCAATATTAGCAGTCGCTAATCTGCACGCCTACTAAGACTTCCACACATATTAGCCGAGTATATTGCTGTCAAACACTACAACCACCCCTAACTCATTAGTCGATTAAGATGTATGTACAACGGAAAGGGAACCAGGAAAGCAAAATACGACGTAACAACAATAGATTTAACAACAGTCGTCGTTTGCCAGGTTTGAATTTACTTTTATAAACGTCGATCGTCACTTTTTCCGCCTAGCAATCAATTTCAGATTTTCCGCCGTTTACTATGATTAATTACATTCCCCGCCACCTTTTTCTCCCCACGAAGCGTATTGATATTATTTACGAACCCAAATGCTACAATTTCACTTCGCGAGGCGGAAATTCGTTCAACGTTTCGCTTCAAATTTCTGTCGAAACTTCTCGCAAGTAAACATAAATTTAACGACGGCGACGTTTTGCAACAAATCCGGACGGGGCAAGTGCTGTTTAACGAACCAAATATCATTTAAATACAAACCTAACAATGGACATTTGATATGAATTATTTCTGCCCTCATTACGAGCACTCAAGTTCTTGATTGTGTCGTAATTACATGAACATTCATAAGTTTCGAACAAAAGAAACGCAAAACAAATATTTCGCCAAACTTCGTCGCCCATTGTTTGCAGCTTGCAACGATGTAGGGGCGTTTAAGAGCCATTATATATACATAACCTAATTTGAGGAAGTGCACAATGCCCGACAAGGGGACAATTTTTCTCTTGTAGCAGGCGCAACGAGGCTCAACATTTTCAACGGACGCTCGTAGCAAGGTTGAAAACCACTGCGCGAAGTAAAACAAACTCTATGGGACAGTATATCACGTAGTGCTTGCATAATGCAAAGAAACAAAGCCCGCACGTTTCAGAGGATCCTTCTGGCGTACCACAGATTCATATTTGCAGATTCCATGCAACCCTACGATACATTTCCCTCCCGAAATCATTTTCACATATATTCTTCGATCGTCCGTTCTTAAAGCATAGAAAAACACATAATGGACAGTTCCTCGTCGCAAATTTATTCTGTACAACACCGGTTGAGAACCACTGCATCGGATGAAACACTCTTCGCGGGACAATGTACCACATGACGATCGCACAATGGAAGGGAACAAAGTCTGTCCGGTTTAATTAGTCCCTTTCGCGCACCACAGACTCAGTTTTCCAGCTAGCGTGTAGCCCTACGGACACTTCCTTTCCAGAATTATGTTCTCCCGTATCATTGAGTCAGCCATGTTGCTAAAAATGTGACGGACTATTTACACTGGCCCGCTGTCGCATCGCGTGACTCGAATCGCGAATTTTTGCTCGATTACCAAGGGAATTCCCCGTGATTCCGTGTGAGAACCACTGCTCGAGACCAGCCGAACTTCACGGGATAGTGTGTCACATAATAATTGCACAATGTAACGTAACGAGGGCTGCATATTACGTTATAACCGGTCCCTTACGTGTTCCACAGACTCGCGTGGCAGGGTTTACATGCAACCGTGCTGCTGCACAATCGATAATCCCATCGGAGAGGAAGCGATGTTTTCACCTAATTATTGGCGAAGCCTGCGATAGCCTATCGATCGTAGCCCGGTCTCCTTTCACGAACGGTGCGTGGCTGATTTCAATTATTCATCGCAGAGAAAGCGACTGGTCCGCGTTTGCTCGCGCGCGGATGTCACAGTGTTTAATGTAATTGATGAGACACTGAAAGCAACGCGTGCTGGATTAATCCAACGCTGATGAAGTGGTTACCGTCTGCCGAGCGTTTTCCGCGCGATCGAACAGAGATTGATGAAACGCGGTAATTTTCTGATCGCCAGGAAGATACGTACGGTTCCCGGCATACACGGTGTCATTAGCCATTGCCCTTTCTGCAGACGAAGCTGAGAACTTTCCCTTTCACTGGGACAGCAGACTGCTGAGAACGAATATATCCTTAACCCCTTCCCGTGCCATTTAGCTCGACGAAATCCGGGCCCAAACCGAGATTATAAGAATCGTGACCAACTCTTGTGACGTACTGATAGGAACTAAAACTCAATCACGGTCGTGATTTGCTGTCCGCGAGCCTGGCTCGTTAGGGGTTAATCTCGCAAGTAATTATCTTCTAATTGTTGAAAGAAAAATTGTAAGCTCTGTCCACGCATGGCGAGAAATGTTTAAAAGGCAATTCCCTGCACAAGTTGCTCCATAAAATGTATATAATCCCCTGCGAAGGTCCGAGAAAATGTCAGATTGAACGGTAAGTAGCAGATTACAGAATATGGACTTGGAGAAACTGTAATGACAATATTGATGCAACGTGTCGATTCCGGTTCCGTAGCGATCGCAGCCTTCATCCCTCTGAGCCACCGACGTCGCTAAATTCGTAGATTTAGTTTCTGCGTGGCTAAAGTCACCGTCGAGACGCAGGCATGCCCCCCCCCCCACCCTCCCCTCCCGTAGAAATACAGTTTCAATTTTGACAGGGTTGAACCTTGATCTAGTCGAAATGTGTATGGGTTTTACTTCTACGTGTTGTAGATTCCCGTTCTGAAATGTTTCTATTCGAACCGGGTCACGTATGGGACGCGCGAGGGAGATAAACGTCCGATCCGACTTCCCTCGAAGCTACATCCCTTGTAACATCCGAAGGAGAGACAGGAATGAAGTCAAAATTGGAAACGAGAAATTCGATCCTCGGACGTATATAACAAACACGGTAGAAACTTCTCTATATACGAGCTACTCGACTACAGGTGGATATTTTTTTGGAGGAGAGAACGATTCTACGGTCCGAATGAGACGAAAACGAAGACTGATGAAATTACAATAGAGGCTCTGTTTTAAAGTTACGCGCAATTAAAGATTCGGGTTAAATACGCCTGACGCCCTGCAACCTGCGACGCATCGACGCGCGTCGGCAGATTTACGCTTTGATGCTTTAAAAAATCTTACACGAACGGTAGGGGAATTATTAATCGTGGCAACAGTGATCCATAATGAATCAATTAACGCTGGTAATTGTTTAAATATATTCCAAGAGAGGGGTTCGAAACGTGTGCGTTAAATTTGTTCAAAATTTGCACTTCTCCTGTAACGATTACGTATAGTATTTCCTAAATATTTTCATCCTGGCTGAAAATCCTGAATCGCGTTACTTTTGTACCGTTCTGTACTTTCCAATTGCGTAACTCGTGTCACGTTGCTGCTGGATTTTCCTAAAGCCCTGTCTGCAGCAACATGCATTTGCAATACGCGCAGGCCATCGCAGTTTTAGCAACTAATATCGCAATGTCTGGTCGTTGGTAACGCAATGAAAATACTAATGTCATCGCGCGCTACGGGAAGCATTAATTAAATTACTGCGTCGCGTTAATTAGCCCATCGTTGTGCAATAATCATTTCACGGTATATGACGCGTGATTTAGACGCAACATCTTTCCCTTTTGTTCGCGGACTACGAAACGAGTAGTCACATTTTGTCAACGTCTCCGTAATGTTTAATTTTCAATTTTCATTTTTAAGGCGCGTTATTACCGTTATTATTATTATTGTTGCTATGGTTAGAACGCGCCATTATTATTCATATTAAGAGAAAGTACACACGTCACGAAAGAGTGATTAGCTAATTACGGAAAGATACGGTACAACCAGATGCTGCTTTCAATCCTAACCTCAAAATGACGTACCGTATATTGCAACCCATTAAAATAATTGCGTCGCTTATTTTAATGTATGGACAGATATGTAATTGCGAGAGTAACTTACTTTCTAAGTAGTCAAACTCTCATAATATTTTTGATCTCATTACGTTGGCCTCAAAATGTTTTATACGATGATCGAAAATCCGCGGTAGAATTTTCTGGGTAAAGAAATGCAAAATATCCAGTTTCGTTAAGATTTTATCCGTCCATCGATTCCCATTTTTACGCGTCGTTCGGGTTGGGTGAATTCTTATTGGCTGTTTACGCGCAAATGCAGAAGATTTAGCGCGTCCCGGCGAATGTGTAATACATACAAATGCATATTATGCGAAAGTAATTATGGAATTGGTACGTCGGGAATTTACATTCGAGGGTGGAGAATCGGGGATGGAGGCGAATTCAAATGGCCCGGATTCAATGAATTTCCATAATGGACCGTGTCGCCGAGAAGCAGCTCGAACTCGATGAAAAAATTGCTCGAAACACTCGCAACGGCGCTATTCCTCAAAGGAATACTGTTAGCTCGAAGATAACGTCGTCCTATGGGGCGAAAACTAATCTTATTCTCTATCAATATTTCCCAACTTTGAATAACCAAATTAAGAAAGTTTGTTTCATGACAATCACAACAGGCAGGAAATAAAATTGCATAATATTTAGGCAAGAAATATTATTTTTAAAAACCGTTGTGCGATTTAAATAAAGCGAAAAGTTTTGGGCGAAAGCTTCATTACGAAAGAGTCCATTAACACGGCTACGTATTTCGCTTTTTTCGAGTAATAACAATGACGTGTCCCGTGGAGAAACATTTGTCACTGTCGAATAAAAAGAATTGTAATGTCACATTGGAATGTAGAAAAATTGAAAAACTGATGAATCGAGAGCAAACAGGAAATTGCTCGAGTGCTATGTTCGATTGGCTCGATTCGCCAGGATTTTCCCGAATTCTCGTGTTCGTAGGCTGTCTGTCACGCGACCGGAACTCGTTAGCCAACAATTTTGGTCGAAACGAGTTAACTAGTTCGTTGGATTTG